TTAGTGCAGCTGAGCAGGGAGGGAGGAGAAGGAGCCATGACCTAGCTAAGTAGTTTACGCAGTAATAGCCTGGACTAATGCTTAATACCGTTGTGCTGTCATATAGGGTCATGGTGGTAAAAGGTCTTAAATCTTTAAAGTGTCTTTTTGATCTGTGCAGTTGTGTGCGTTGTGTAGTGGTTGGCATGGGTTTCATCTTCTGTCATTGTCCACAGTCACATGATGGTCAGGGTGGCTTTCACACATACCACAGGGGTCGAGTCACTACGCTGGCATTAGGACCAAAGTGGGTCATGTGGGCATGGTGTGAGATCAGCCTGGACTCAATATCTCCTGTTATTTCTGCAAAACCCTGCAGACCCCCGATGCCATCTGAACGACCACAGTCGTGGTTTTTGCAGTGATTTCTTCCTGGAAGTGAGCGGTTTTCATTCATTCTAGAGAGGTCTGAAAAACACCCCAGAGTTGGGTGATCCATCAAGCTGATCATCTTGGCCTCTTTATTTATGTATTACTGTTACAGACTGATGTAACTCTTCTGAATGTGCGGTCGTACAGTGAGCCGGGTTTGTTTGGAGGACTGTTTAGTGGAAGACTTAAATCATGGAGGGTGTGACATCCGAGGCTTCGGTCTGCCAAAAAGCTTCACATTTAAGATGTGGAGATTCTACCACAGAGGAAAATAATCTTCACTGCTAAAAGGCAGGACGATACTTTTTGCCACTTTAGAAAAACAGCTCTTTAAAAGGGAGGTTTTCTCCAAAGTGATTACAAGCTCTGAATGGTCTTTAATCTGAAGTTCTGAGCTAAACTGGAGATAGTGCTTATTTAGCATCAATTCTTTCCGCCTAAGCTGCATAAAAACATTTCCCACTATGACAATTTGGGACAGGGTGAACGGAAACTGGAGTTGAGGCTAAAGAGATGAGCTGCCAACTAAAATGTTTGCATGCAGCAGATTACTCTTTCAGGCAGTTAAACTCAGGATGGTGCAACAGAAACACTGAGTATTTGAGGAGAAGTTGCCGTAAAAGTGGATGTAAAGTTTATTGCTTCTTAAATTTCTGATTCTGCTTTTCTACCTGTGCTTAATAATTCTGGCCGGCTCCAAGCGGATGTGTACAGCACCAAATGCAAGCTTACAACACCCCACTACATGAGGAAGTAGAAAATATTTCCATTTCCAACTTTTATGAAAGCATCTTCCTGTTATCCAAGAGTGACAGTAACTTCTTTCCAAGAGATTTTTTATACAATTTGTTGTTTGTTTTTAATATTTCTTGGATAAATCACAAGATGTCTCTTGAAGTATATCTTTGTGAACCCTGACTAGTAGATGTCCATGTAGTTACAGATTTCCCCCGGCGTTTTCGGGTGCAGACGCCGCGTTGAGGACGGAAGCTAAAATTACGTAATTTGGCCGCAAGGATTCTGTGGAAGTGTCGAACATAAATCAAACCTGAGTGTTTGAGGGGCAGCTACTGTAAACCCTGGTTTTACTGTCTTATTAAAACAAAGACAAAATACTAACAGACTACAGAGTTCACATATTAAACTTTTATTAGATTGTTTCATTAGCGGTTAGTGGAGGTAGCATTGCTTGGGTACTGTGTTTTCCTGGGAGAATCTCTTTCCTTTAACACTAAGATATCAAAAAAACGTTTTTAAATCCTGAATAAAAATAGACAGAAGCTGAAAGATTAGGAAATATAAACAGATCAACTTTGCGGTTCTCCCTTGAGCCTTCCTGTTATCTTTTAAGATCCGTGCTCCCTCAGGTGTTTTTGCTGCCTGAACTACCCACAGCTATATACAATTTCCTTTTAGAACATCTCTGCTAAACTTTATTTTAAAATGTTTGAAAAAGGCCACAATAGAATCTGAATGAAAGAGCTGTTTCACTGCTTTTAGTGGCAGTGAGAAGAAAGCGTTCGTTTCCTTGATGTGTTTCCTGTCGCTGGGAGATTTCTCTCTGAGGGGTTAATAATGCTGGTTTAAATATCACGACATGTGTTGCATGTTATCTATAATTTCCAACTGAAATAAATCACTTTCTTCATCTTTACCAAGCTAATGTTTTATTCTTTTCTTACAATCATTTGCAGCATGATTACAAAAGTATTTAAGCTGATCTTTAAAAACCCACTAACAGCTATTTAAACGGGGGTTTGTAAATTATTGAGGATAAATTAAGACATCGACTAGTTGGAGAAAAACACAGACATCATAACCTTTGTAAGATGATTCTCTGTAATCCTCCACAGTAAAAATCCCAATTAAACATTCTCCAGGAATGATTTGTGTTGACTGACACGAGGATCCAAGTTTTCTCTCAGACTGTGCGTCAGGAAGCCGACTCTTCTTCTAATCCTTTTCTGTTTTCATAAAACCAGATTTAAAGTTGCTCTTGGAACAGCTGCGACTTAGGTTTAGAAATTATTTGGTGGAAAAGTCTAATCTGCATTCATTGGAGCCACACAGAAACTTTTAGACTAACAGCTTCTGCTAACCTTTCCCTCATTACACATTTTAAATCTCACAGGTGATCCAGCCTGTCGACTTAAACAACTTTTATTGTAATTTTGTATACACAGATTATACAAAATGAAATTTTGTTTAGTACAGCATGCAGACAGTGAATAAATTAAAATGCCATAAAGTGCAGCAGTGATCAAATGTAAACAGTTTGGGAAAAACAAAAAATCGGTGCAAAAAATACTCTAGGTTTGGATTACGTTGTTTATAACTGAGCTTTGCTTTTTCTGGAGTTTGAGTACTCTCTGGGTACTCTGAAGACCAATCGCAAATGCGCTGTCACTGACGAAAATCTTTCAAGAATCACCAATTGTGATGCATGGCCTACTTATAGAGGGTGAACCCTGCTGTTTCAAAAAAAGTTGTTTTAAACATATCTACAGTGGGGGACTGCAAGGTTCACCTTGTAAAAGTGGGCCATTGCATTTCATTTCAAAGATTTCGTCCTGTTGCCTTGCGACCTTTGGAAATTTCCCTATTTTAGTGCTCACATGTCCCTAGAGAACACATCTCTTTTCCCTGCCTTTTATACTAAAACATATTGCAGTTTACTGATAACTGCAAGCATCTTTATGAAAGAAAATGTTTATAAACAGGAACAGGGAGAAAAAAAACAACCTTTAAGATTACTTTCAATGTTAGCCACTAATTGGAAATCATGGACTTCCAAAAAAGAGATTCCAAAAGCCTACCAATATGCTTTAAATCAAACTGTTTACTGACAAACGTATTTAGTGCTAAGGAAGGAAAATCAGGGCTTTAAGTTTCAGTCTGGAAAATGATACCGCTGCACATTATTGTTTTTAAGAACAGTGAAGCAATCAACCACCAGCTGTTAAACTGTATTTTGAATAAGAGACGTAAATCGTGATATTCAGTCCTTCTCAAAGCATGTGCTATAAGTGGATCATTCAAGCCTTAAGCTCGTATAAGGCACACTGAGAAAACAATCAAGGTAATGCTAAACATAGTGCTGATCATAAGTGGTAATAATGGGGAGGAGGGTTTCTCACCTTTTCGTTTTTTTTCCACGTGAAGTTCGACGTGAAGCAGTGGGGATAAAGTCTGGCGTCTTCAGTCTTTTATAAAAAATCAAAGCTTTAGATTTACCTGTCCATCTATATTTGGACTCTAACTGATGTGCATGAGATATAAAGATATAAATGATCCTCCTCCGTAGGATGGTTTGACTCACCCTAACAGAGAGAGTGAGAAAGCTCCGTCCTGCTGGGAGAGACTGCTGCTACTCCACATTAAAAGGAGTCAGCTGGGTGGTTAAGGCATCTGATCAGGATGCCTCCTGGGTCTCTCTCTTTAGAGGTTTCCCAGCATGTGCAACTGGGAAAGAACCACGGACCACTGGAGGGAATCTATGTCCCTGGTGGTCTGGGATGGATGGATGGTAATATTATATATTTCAGCAGTAACCATTAGAGTGTGTCACCCAGTATAAGGGTTGAGGATGTTTGCTGAGAACGTTGAGGTCTTTATATGTCTCTAGTGAGCAGCAAAGCTTTTACTTGAGTCATGTTTGCAAATTGTGGTCCAGTCTGGGTTCACATCAGTGGAAATGGTGCTAGACTAACCCAGCATGTGAGACAGCATTCCCCACTTCCACTCAGTCCTGCCTTATGTCATATTGACTGATGGGATTCCCTGGAGCTGTAGTAAGTACTGTAGTCTAGTATTTGTTTTGGTTGCTTTCTGTTTATACCCCCGGTATATTTGGCCTGTGAAAGTATGTGTGATGATGATTACGTGCATATGCATTAATCCAATGATGAAATCTTGATCTAATGAAAAAGTTGCCCCTAAGGTTGCAGCAGTGCGGCCTGATCCACGATCTGTCATGTAGATGTATATTTATGTGCATAACGGACTTTTAATGCATGTGTGCAGTAATGCTGAAATGTGAGTGTGTAAAACAGTTCAGACGCTGGTTTTTCCAGACCAGCTCGTAAACCACATCTGGGGAAGGAATTTAGATTCCTTTGCTCCTTCTTTCTCTGCTGGTATTTCTTTTTTTTTTCCCCCACTGTGAGATTCCCTCCCTCCTCCTCCCCCCTTGCCTTGGATTTAAAGGAGAAAGTCATTTTTGTTCATATTTTCAGCCTTGTCCTCAGGATAACTTAAACTTGGCTTAAGAGCAGAGACGAGGAATGTTTTATTTAGCAGTGATTGCATGGGTTAGATTCTGATCTGCTGGAAATGAGGAAGGAAGGTACGCTGAGGTATTAGACGCTTAGAAGAAAATGTTTATGTGGGATCCAACATGCAAATGAGAGTCTGGCAGTATGCCTCTGCTTCTCTGTGATGGTCCTGTCTGTCGGCACGTCTAACAGGCTGCCAGTGATGTTGTTGACTGCGGGTAAGCGAGTGCTGAGAGGTTGCAAGCGAACAGAAAATGCATGTGCTCCTTTTTTCCCCCCTCTGATCATGTTCTTCGCCTGCTCCTTCTCTCCCAGATTGTCCCTGGCTTCGCAGCGTTCCTGTGGGACAACGGACAAGACCCCAGTAGCTGACTGACAGCACCAAGCAGCCCACCACACCACTGTGCTAAATCTTCCCATAGGCCGGCTGCCAGAGCTCCCCCCCCCCCATCCTGACTGGCTGTGGTGGGAGCGTGGATGGAGCCGAGGGATCTGGTTGGCTCAGCCCGACCCAAAGAGGCGGACCTTCGGGGAAGTAGGGCGGGGCTGAACGAGGAGCATCAACTGGCAGTGGGAGGCGTCGGACTAGTGCGCAGCGATGATGTGATTAACGGCGCTGCCAGTGAGGGGGAGGGGCTAGAGGAGCAAGGGGAGGGGCTTATGGAGGAGCAGGAGTTCTCCATCAAGGAAGCAAGTTTTCAAGAGGGAAGTCTCAAGTTGAAGATACAGACAACCAAGCGCACAAAGAAGCCGCCCAAGAGCCTTGAGAACTATATTTGTCCGCCAGAGATCAGAATGACCATCAGACCTCCGGCCGGTGAGGGTAAAGGGGGGCGACAAGGGCGGACAGGAGGCGGGGCAGGAGCAGGGCGGGGCCCCAAGGACGAAGAACGAGGTCCCCCGAGAAAAAGGGTAAGTCCCCTGGTCCTCCTTCTGTACTCTCTTAGAATCAGTGATAAATCGTAAACTATCATACGTCTCGCAGGTTTAAGTTACGAAAACACTTCTGTCTAACTAAACATCTCAACCTGTAGCTTTTGTCATCCGCCACTCCAGCTACGTTTACAAGGAGTCAAAGTTTGCTGTAACTGAACCCACTGTGGCTGAGATCACACAGACACACACCCACTCAGACACACACATAGCAACTGAGAATAGGGCTGACTCAAGCAAGTGACAGCTGGTGTCTGCCCTCTCCATTTGTGGTCATACACTCAGAGACCCCTCCAGTCCCCTCTCCTCAACGCTTTCCTCTCCCTTTCCCTCCTTTAATCAGATCAGCCTTTGTGGGCCACAGCCTTCAACGCCCCAAACCTCCCCTTCCTCCCCTATCACCCTTCCCACACTATACGGTTTCTGGTGTGTGTGACACTGTGTATGTACAGGTCCTTGGGGGGAATCTAGTGTTTGCAGGGTATGTTGACCTACACGGTGCTGTGTGTGTGTCCAAACCTGACAGCCATCTCAGCGGCGCTGAGCGCGACAGGCCCAGCAGGACTAACAGTGTCATGTTGTCAACATGTTGCAGAGTCGTGTTCTGCTCTGTTGTTTGCGCTCTGACTCAAGTGGCTCACAAGGTAGAAGAGCCCCATGGTAGGTGTTTGAACAGGCTTCCTCTGGAATGGTCAGCTTTGAGGTCGTTCATAGGCGGACACGGTCGGCTCAGGGGGAACATTGGAATAAATGTTTATAAAGACGTTGTCACACTTCCTTTTAAACCTTTGCAACCCAAAATGTAAATGTCTTTATAAAGATTGATAGACCGACAGTAAGTGATGGATAAAGTAAGACTATACATGGTTGTCAAAATGTGGAAACTTGCAGTGTTGTAGAACTCGCTTTTGTTAGCAGCATGTCTCTGAGGTTCATAAAATGAATATTCCTACAAATTCTTAACTAAATAGTTAAGGATAGGTGAGGTTGTATAGAAAGCATCGTTTTTAGGTATTTAGAGCCCAGTTTTAGGTCTGCACCCTAACCGGACCAGTCTTACATAATAATGAACATAAACCGGTTTATATTGTAGTCCCTTACAGATGTCTAGCCCCATGCATCTTTCCATCAACTCTGACCAGCCTGCATGTCCCTCTTAATGAAGCTCTTCCCAACATGTTTTACCTGAAAATGATGAAATATTTGTTGGGTTTATTTTAGAAATATTCCAAATCCAGTTGACTCTACTTGGTTATAATTAAAGATGTATTTTCCTTTAACTTCGACCATCTTCCAAACCCTTGCTTCAAGAAAAGAAAAAAAAAAATCCCACATTATTAAGCTGCCACCACCATGTTTCATATAGGTCATTATCTTTTTAGTTCCTAAAAAACCCTTTTTCCTGCAAGCTGTAATTTTCTTCCTGGCCTTTTTTTTTAATCAAAGCCTACATTTTTTGGTTGTTCAGTCAGTCATCCAAGTTTGTCAAGTTTATATATCGCTGTCACATCCTCTTTAGATTTTCTGATCTGACTGTAACTCTCTGCAATTAATAATTAGTTGAGAATCTTGGCCCAGATGGAAGGAAGCAGCGTTGTGTGTTCATGTTTATTAAACTTTTCAAACATTTGGAGCATATATTTGGAAATAAAGCAAAATGTGGTTTTATGACTTGAAGCTGGCAAAGAAACCTTATCCATATCCACAGCCAGAGTTCCTGCTGGTTTTCTGTTGGATGCATCACTAACCACACTGTAAACCTTCTGACCTGCCTGTGGGATTGTTCAGGGGAAAAGAAAAAAGCAAGAAGAAAAATGCATAACATGATAGAATTTCAGTGTTTATATCCATTAGTAAGCTGGGTGGGTCGAGCCTTGCCTTCTGAAGCCCGGACAGCCGCTCATAATCCACCACCATCAGCCCCCTAATTAGGAAGCCCACCGCTTAGCGATGATTGACAGCTTGTTGTCATAGTGACAGCACTGAAAAGCTTGTGTCTTCTGAGGTTTGTTGAGGGGAGGGGAGAACGTGTTGGTGTTGGTTCAGATCGGTTTCAAGCCTGCTTCCCCACAGCTCCGTCCCCCAATTACCCACACCCACCCAGCCCTTTGCCTCACGTCGCCCGCCTGCATCCAGTCATCACCTGCTACCCCAGGCTGGCTCATTGGAGAGGAACGGGTTAAAGAGACTCTCTCTGCCTCTCTCTCTCTCTCTCTCTCTGCATGCCTGGGTATGTGTGCGTTGAGGTTAAATACTCTCTTTGTTGTGTACGGGAGGCTGTGTGTCAGAAAGGGAGGGGAGGTGAGGTGGGGAGCAGATGGACAGCCTCTTCACTCGCTCTTGTATTGTGTCCACATCTACTCCTTTTTCCCGCTCACCCTCTTTATCTTTTTATCCATCTCTCTTTCCACACTTGTCCCTGCCATTTTTTTCTCCCCTCGCATCTTCCACTTTTTCCATCACTCTTTTTAGCCCCTACCAGATGGCAGCACGGGGCAGAGCGGCGAGAGAGCAGGGGAAGGAGTAGGGGAAAGGAGTAGGGGGTTGTGGAAAGAGGAGGAGAAAGGAGGTGGAGGTCAGGCATATGGAGAGCCTGGTTAAGGGGCCCCCACAGAGGGAGTGTGTTTGTGCGGTGAATGGAGGGGGGGGTGGTACAATAGAAATCCATTAAGAAGGAGATTTGCCTCTAATAGACAGAGAAGAAGAGAGACAGCCAGCCTGATTAAAAGCTAAACATGTAGAAAGAGATGAAAATGCTGGCTTTTTTTGTTGTTATTTTATACGCTTCCGTACATAGTCAAAGAAAATGAGATAATTTAAATAAGATTATGTAATGGCTCAGATTTATTTCCCTAGCAGCAAATGAAAGGGTAGAAAAAATGCATTAGCAGAGAAGGAAACTGTACGCTTGGCTTTTTTTTACCAGGAGCTCCCAAATAAAAAAAGTTTAAGAGTACAGAAAAAAAATAGGAGCACTATAAACTTTCTTAAATAGTGCATTCCTAAAATTTTAATTAACTTGGGTCATATTTTATGTTTTGTGAGGCTGCCTTTTTTTCAAATGTGGGTTTTTGATCACAATCGACAAACTACCTGCCTGCTTCTCTTTGTGATGATTAGAAATCATAATGTTGTCCTCAAACTCAAGCTAAGGGAAAAGTTTGATCAAATCTGATTAGAACCTATAAACTCACCATATGGTGTCCAGTCATAACAATGATGCATTATTAATTTCTAAGTTTCTAATTTTCTAAGATTTGTCTTTTCCTCTCATAAATAATATGTATATCAGAATAAATAATGTTAAAAATATAACGTTTAGACTTCATAGGTCTTTGCTGTCAGGGTTAGGCTTGTGTAAGGAACAGGGTTACACCTCAGTTAAGCTGAGGTGAGAGCGCAGGGAGGCTGCTGAGGGCCAGATTGTCCCAAACCCCAGCTGATCACTTCCAGCCTTAATTGCTTTTGAGGTGTTGGAAGGACGCGGCCTTCATGACAGGGTTCTAAACAGGATTTTTTATGAGCGCAGCAGGGTATTGATGCAGTCCCGTTATTTGCATATTATTGGTCCATCAGCATTAGCAAGACTGAAAGGGATACTCCAAATACATTAAGAACTCAAGATAAACTTTATAAAACATTTTCTAGTGTTCCTGAAGGTTATTCTAACCTATACGGAAACAAAATTATATTTTATGTTATCTAATTCAAATTAAAGGCAGTTAAAAAAAAAGGCAAAATATTATATTCATCCCACTTCATAATTCGGGGGGGAATCAGTTGAAGCTTTGCACGTGTGGCTCCTGTTAAAAGTAGAAACAGAGGAGAGTCCCTCTGACTGCAGAAATGGGCTGCAGCTGCGGTGTTTTGGAGGAGGGAGGGTCTCGCTCGCTCACTACTCGCTGAAGACAGTAAACTCAGCGCTATCGGTGCATGTGTTGCTACCAAAGTCTGCAGCAAGAAGCAGTTGCTTGATTTTGTCGCTGAAAAAAAAAACAAGTCCGAAAAGTTGCAAAACGTAGCGACGTTGCTGAGCTGGCTAAATGTGCTCACCTGCATCAGTGTCGTACACAGCACCTGTTGTTACATGACTTCATTTGATGAACTACAGTAAGCTGCTGCTTCTATCTGTTATCAAGACTCTTATTTTGAAGTAAGAGAGGAGGAAGTTGAACAACATATGAAGGATTTGTCAATGTTGCAGGAATTATTTGCCAGTATTGCTAAAGTTAGCATCTCATTTAGAGCTAGTCAATGAGGCTGCATTTGTTTACGTCCAGTTTCAAATCCTGAATACTTGGTGTGTTGGTGTGAGAGGTCTTTTCTTTGCACAACATCTCCCAAAATTAAAATCTAAGTATTTCTCTTTAGAATCTCAATATAACCTATTTTTCTGCTGTCAGTATTGGACTTCATCTAGATAAGTAAGTCTAAGCTTTTAATATGAGCCCAAGATAGGAACCTATTTGCTTTATTAATGGTGTCCTTTTATATTAATGTTGGAGACTCTTATTTTGTAGCAGGCAAGGAAGAAGTTACTAAATAGCTCTGTTTTATTGACAGAGTCTATCATACGTTATGCAAAAGTTGCATGTTAGGCTTCCAAGATGCTGCCTACTAGCAGCGCAGTTGGGAAATTCCAGCGTTTTTGGATAGTATTTTGGACGTCATCAGTCCATATTGATATCATATACCTGCTCAACAATAACAAAATATGAATATTAGAATATATATGCCTACATCTAAAATTTTGCAAATAAGCAAGCGGATAGAAACACTCTAAAGTTTATATAACCCATTTGTTCACAATAGATAGATCAATTGCTATCATACCTGTTGTTGATGATAGTTGTATGTTTGACTAATAACACTTGATATGTGAAGTTTACATTTGTGCTGATATCATATGATGCGATACTGGTATCACATCAGAAATTAAGAACTTTTGTCGGGATATCTCTAATAATCCCAATTAAAAT